AACGGCTACTAATGATAGTGATGGTCATATGGATGTCACAACGGCTCATGGCGAAAGTCATGTTCATAAGGATACATTGGCTGATGATGATAGTGTAATGCATACGAAACGAAATGCAACTAAAGAACCGATACCGATGAAGGATGACAAAAAAGTTGGACCCTTGGTAATGACTGAGCTTCTTGAAATTTTGGAGTCCCTTATAATTAGTTTTCAGGTTTTCGCTTCAGGCATACTTCATTTCATGGTTGCTTCTTGCTTGTTGGCCTGCATAATTATGAACAATTACGAGAAATGCAGTACAACTCTTCCACCAGCCATTGTAAGTAAGCAAAGGAGGAATTCTGCACTAAGATTTCATTTCAGATAGTCGTTGTTCTAGCATTTTCATGTTGTTTTAACGTTGTCGCTGTGATTTTGCTTTTCCTCCATGAAACAAATGTACCTCATGAAAAGACGGCTATACTGGGAGTTGAGGTAAGAGTTTAATTCAACTGGGAAGCTCAAAAATTTGTCTTGATTGATGCTTTCAGCTTATGTCCATTGTTAGCTCGGTATTTATGATTTTGGTCATGGCATATTTCGTAAAAGTCCCTCCAAGGCTTCTTATTGTTATTGAAAGCCACGAAGCAAGTCAACTAAATAAAAAGTAAGCACAATATCGCTGAAAAGGTTATCAACGGAGAAATCATTCTGTATATCTTTTTCCCGCTATTTTCAGTCAAGCTCCAGCTGGAAACCGAGGAAGCAAAAGCCAGTTTTCGAAAGTGCTCGGACTATTTCAGAAGTCAAAGAAAAATTAAGGCGCCTTCAACACACACAAATAGTTTTCCAATCTCTTGTCATTGGTGTAAAGATAATTACATCGCCCAAAAAAATTAAAGTATAGCCATTTTTTCTCTGACCAACGAATGTTCCAGTGCAGATTATTACATGACACAATCTTTCAACAGACATACGTAGGAAATTTGAGACTGCTCTAAAGGGCCGGGCATACTTCACGCGATTTCACTCGCGACGCG